CTTGGCGTAAGACTCGGTCGATTCTCTTGATAATATATTATACATTGTTTCTGGTCTTGCTGGCACAACGAGAAAGGGAACTAATTGTAAGTAACGAAAGAAAGAGAAATGTCGTAGTCTCTGAAGGTAGCAGATTGTGGAATAGCACGGACAAATGGACTCATGCTAGGTTGGTAAGAGGTAGATGAGAAAATAATATTTACTTCGGAACAATTTGATTAAGTCAAAACAGCCAAGTACCGGGGATCATGGAAAATTAAGCATTAAATGTTGCGATTCGCGACGTTAAAGTCTAGCCGGAAGTCGTAAGTTAGATAAGTAGAATAACTTGATAAGTATATACTATAATATACATATATACAAATATATACATATATATGCATATGTATATGTATATTCGAGTAGGTATGTATATATGTAAGTGTTTCAATTTTTACCCATCAATTATCCATCTTTTGGAATTTGAATATTGGAGTAATCATACTGAAAATTCATTAATGTTTCATAAATCAGAAGCACCCAGTGAATGAACTTCCGGTTCTATCGGTAGAACATAAGGGAAGCTATGCTAAAAGTTATATTTTCTATAACTGTGCTAGAATTCTCTTGATTTACTTAAGCTGCAGATGAATGTCAAGGGTACAGCTTTTTTTAGGTCAACGTCATCTGTGACGTTTTCTGGAGAAAATAAGGAGGGTAGAAATTGACAGGAAAAGTCTACATGAAAATATGTAACATTCGGTATTCTCAAGTTGAATTCTGAATAAATGCTGAAAACTGTTAATAGAAAATACGAATAAAAGAATGATTGACGTATTGGAAATTGGCATTGGTCAATAATCTGTTCCATTTACAGACAGATTGTCAAGAATTGTATATGGCGCGGGAACAATGAATTAAAAACCATTTCAAGAGTGATCGATAGTCTACACATCCGGTACCTGAATATATACTGGGTTATTCACCCAAAACCTACCACTCGAAGTAATGGCGCCCATCCCGCGAAGAAAACTTATCAGGGTTTTTTCCAAAGCCCAGATTAATATTCCCTAATTCTCTTAGGGGCCTCATGTGAACGCTTCATAGCCCTCATAGGGTTTCCTAAAGGACGGTCATGCTTTTTCCTTTAGAAGGCTAAATGTGGGGGTCTTTAAAGGCTGATTCATGAGGTCCTTTATCGGCTTCCTAATGATTACCTAGTTAAACAATTGGGCTCCATGGATATAATCGTCAATGCCATTTACATGAAGGAAGATATCATAGATCGCGATGAAAAAAATTACATGTACATATCTGTCTATGAGCACGTTAAAATTGATACGTTATTCGATGATAATTTTACCAAATCGATGTAAAACTGTTTCATTGAACCACCACTGGATTTCAGTATAGTTTCGAAGCATTCAGCCACGGACCGCATTATACTCTGTAGGCAGATAATACCATATAATTGATTGGATTTGTAAATTTTCGAAATAACTCAAGTCCATTGTACACCCGTTGGATCTCACGTGACTCTTGCAAATATTAGAGACATTTTCGAGACTCTTACTCGATTATACCCGGACATTGATTTATTGCTCAACCATATTTCATCGGTTGTCAGATAGGGAAAATTTCATCGCATCCCCTTTAACGACCGATCAAGTTTTTCAGGGTTGCAAAATTGGACTTTTAAAGACGCGGTAAAATCATCGATTTCTAATACCCATTTAAATCAATATATTACATCATTCGAGTTTAAAGTTGCATCCCGTAGATGTCCCAGAAATGACTTTTAATTGTGGTTCTACATAACCCGCTCAGCCTGGAGGGTCCGACCCTCCTGTAAGATTCGAGAGGTAGACCTGAAGTCTTGGCCAAGTATAGATAAAATCCTAGCAGAAGTATGATTCTAGTCTTCTTAAGGTACAGTTAAAATGACATAGTGTAATACGAGTAATAAAAATATTAAAATATCAGAGATATCACAGAACAGTCTCATATACATCTTTTTGGTCTGAATCAAGTACTTTTCATCTCAATAGAGTATCATTGAAATGCCCATACCGATTTTCATCTCACCGAAATCTCCTTATGGTCCTAATAAAATCGCTGTATTTTAAAAGCCTATTCCATTTAATCAGACTGTCCTATTTTAGAAGCCCATACATGTATATAGAAAACTCTCAAGTACTTTGTAAGAGAGTACTTCCGTCCAGATCTAGTGCAGGACTGGGATGAAAGTACATATTGCAATATAAATATAGTAGCCAGATTAGTTATGCAAGCTCCGCGGAATTAACGGCAAGAGTTGCTTATGGAGATTTAGCGAATAATGTACAGCTGCCTCCACGTAGAGGATGACTGTTCACCCCGTAAGATACGTTTTAGAAGGATTCTGTGTACGGGCGCTAATCACGTTTTCAGACAATATTTCCATCCCGGAGAATGCGAAGCATTAATTGGTAGGTGCTCGTCTGCCCGGTTGCCTGCACGCGCATAGTAATGACGGAGGAGATTCCTAAAGAAGGAATCATCCAGTTTTCGCTGTATATCTGCATAGGAGTATGTCTGTGTAGTCAACGAGTGTGACTATATAATACTATACTGTGTGCTATAGGATTTAATACTAGCTATATAGTAGTACGGTAGGGTTGTATGTACCATGCAGTCACGAATTTCCGTATGCACTTCGCGCGGTGTAAACTCTACCGAAGTCCCTTGTGCTTTCCACAGTGTGGGAGAAACGGCTTGGATGCCGAAGACGCATTAATATTAATGCGCAAGGATTTACCGCGACACGACTCGCCCGTGGCTCAGGGATGTACGTTTACAAATACAGTTCGCAACACTGCACCATACCGGAACCGGAAGCGGCAGAAACTTGGGCGCGTTTCGTCTTATGCAGTTCTCTGAGGATGGTACCCCGATATCAATGCAGTCATCCCGGACGTATCTGTAATTGCATAAGGGAGAAAGGAATTATTCGAAATTAAAATTTTGGCTAGTGTATTATTTTTTAAATTTATTTTAGAGGATTCATGATCGATTGGTGAAAAATAAAAAAGCCTAAAAGAAATATATTAAATGGTTACACCCATGGTAAAACCGGTTGACGCTCTTTCCGCTTTTGCAACTTGGAAAAGAAAGTTGGTATAAAAATGGAATGGAATGGGACGTGGCTCGACGGTCCCTTGAAAGGTAATTAAAAATTACGGGAAAGACCACAGGCGATTATGGCACTGTAGGGTCTGCTCTCTGGGAGGGCTGGTTGTAAGGTGGAAAATAAGATATAAAGGACCATACCGCCATGTTACTTATCTCTATTAATTAGTTTCCTCCTGAAATTACTGTAACATCACCAGGAGACTGTTAATACTATCTAGTTATGTCGTGCATAAGAATCTTGAAAATTCCCTAGAATTTAGTGATATTTTTAAAAATGTCAATTTTAGTTGGATACATTTTTCAGGGATGTTAAAAATTTTTAACGCACGTTTCATGGAGATATTGAAAGTTTGCTGGATGTGCATCGCGCAAGTGTCAATCGTGCGAAATGTCAAACTGAGTACATTATATTATCTTGTAAACTTGTTTTATGCTTTATGTTTCTAGTCTGAGATTTTCAGATTTTCAAGAGCTTACAATAATTTTTCTTTTAATATTTGACATTACCGCAGCGATCGTCAATTATTTCCGATGTCATAAAAGATATTTACTATTGGGATTTTCATGTCTCTCGAGATTTGTATCACCTATGTACATTAGTTTCTACATGATTTTGGTGTTTGTTTCGGGAAGAGAGAAAAAATATATTATGGAGACACTCCTGCCTCAGTTATATTTAATCTATTATTTGAAAATAGAGAAATGCAAATAAACTACATTTTTATTATTTAATTACATGCGCTAACATCCTTACGGGGCACGCTGGATATCTTTAACGACCTTTTGTTTAATTACTTGGCTTTAATTGAAATATAAAACGATCCAAGCACTTGAAGGAAGCGAAGGTTTCTGGGACATTATGGAATATTGCTAGACTATATGAAGAGTTTAGAATATTATTTACAGCCAATAGTTTCTTATTACGGTTTGGTTGTAAATCCTAGTTAATATCATAACCATTGATCTTCCCACTGTTCTATGTACATAATAACTCCTCAGGAACTCCTCATCACATAGTAAAGATCTTAATTGACCTGATTACTTAGATTAAGTAGCCCTATTTCCGTTAGTACGTAAAAGAGGACCTACGGCCAAATAGTAGAATAGCCTGGTAATGTAAGTTCAGTTAGGGTACCAAAAATACCTATTAAACAAATTATTCGACCCATTCTTTTTTCCTAAATGAAAACATTTCGCAGTGATTCCCGTCGGCCACAATTTCCTGTACGCAGTTTACGACATTTACATATGCAGGACTGTGACAATCAAATTAATTAATAGCAATCAGTGCACCCATATAATCCTACGTTTACGCTCCTGGAAATTCCAAATCCACTGGCTGTCTGTCATAAACCATAGGCAGATCCGCCCCATGGGATTACTTAAGTAAAACAATTAACAACCAATCTCTCTAATTAATCAAACTCTCGCAAAGTTCCAATTTATTCCAAAAACGTATCCCTAACTCCAAGTAAAAACTTAATCGAAGCTCTTTCACTACGTAACAGCATACGCCCATTCACGGTATAAATGAATTTCAATAGATATCGAAAAGATCCAAACAAAATTTACCTACGTATCAAAAACAAAGGTCTCACATGATGCCTGGAGCCGTGTTCACCACATGAGCTCCGTTTGAGAAATAAGCATCAGTGAGTTGTCGTAGGTATTCGTGAACGAGAAGCCGTGAGTGTGACGTCACCGAGCCCGTGAAGGCGTACCAACGTGGAAAGGGTAAGGTGCGTGACGTCATGTATTCTACCTCCGTGTTCGTGAGTGCGCAAGAAGAGCTTGGGGGCGCTGTTGAAGACTCGTTTTGGCCGCATGGTGGGGGCCTGGGGGTCCAGGCATGGAGGGGGCGCAGTCCCGCGCCATCCTCCGTGTCGCTAGCACGCTAAAGAAGTGCGACCGATCGTGCCAGCCAGATACTTCGTCGTGACAGTAGACGTTCATTGAACTTGGAATTTTTATTTCCACTTGATTTATACCAGATGAAAACGATCTTGTCATTGACTCTATCCGCGTAGTCATTTGAGTTTTCGCGAAGTGAGTGTTAAATTTTATTACTATTAGTGATCTTTTGGGTGTTTATTTGACTGTACATTCTCCGGAGTGTGGATGATCATGATGGTGTCGTTAGTACCGGCGGTTCTACTGGCCGCTCTGACGGTCCTTGCCATTAAAAATCAAATCGTTAGTGCTGGCGATAGCTACCATAGACCTACCGTTGATGCCAAGATCCGCGATGACATCGATTTATCTCAGGTAAATTCTTTTTGGAGATTTTATTGTACTTTTTGATTTTTGAATGACGTTTCTCAGATTCTTATTTAAATCGTACGTACGTAGTTCGCATTCTTGTCGATCGACGCCGTGGCGTTGCTGTGCTTATAGGTATATTCGAGAAATGTCGATATAGTTATATGGCGTTTGTGGCATTTCTTTAAAGTATTGAAGTGAGCGAGGAAAAACAAATACAAGTAACAAAAGTTGTAAAATTTTGTTAAGAAGAAAAAAAACAAGTTCTAAGATACTCTAAGTAGTATTTCAGTCTTTTTCTATGTATGTATACAAAATCCGTATTCTGTGAACATCGAGGGTTTTTAATAAAAACTTTCCGTTCAAGCATTTAACTTTGCATCGATGGCTGACGAGAATTTAGCGGTCAAACACAAAACCCCCATCGTATCATAAATTGGAATAAAATTTATTCTACATTTATACTGATTTAGGATCCCCTACAATGAACCTTTCTTAAGCCATGCTATTTACGAGCTCAAGACCTTTGTATGTCAGACGTCAAAACAGTTTCATAATTTACTCCCATTAGCATTATGAGTTTTTCTAATTTACATAATAAGTCCTAAGATTCGGCAGAGGTTACCGTTTTCTTATTTTCAAATCTCATGTTCGCATATGTTTTAATCTGTGATACGTACGTGCTTGTCGCGAATACGAAACTATGTGATAAGCGTTTAAGGCAATGAATATAATAGTACTGCCTTATAAATTCTTGTATGCCTTGCGGAATAATTTCGCTTTCCACCAATACTCAAAGACCCGAAGTCCCTAAAGTTATTTTCTAAAATTTTATACATTATTAATACGACGGCCAATAGATTCGTTTACGGTGACGTTTTTAAGCAGCATAATATAGTGCTCTGTCAATTTTCACGTTGTCCTTCTATAGCACTTGACAGTTGAATACCGTCGAAGCTTCCTGCAATGGCAACTTGTTGCCGTAACAAAAATCACCAAGTTTTGCGGTCTGCACGATTCGGTAGTTACCTACTTCGCAAAGTAGTGCATCTTTCATGGGATTCAGCTTCAGTCTCTTTTTTTATTTATTCCGACCGAGCCATTGGCTGAAGTAAAACTTAACTGTATAAAAAGTTCAGTAACCGAATTCCCACTGTCTCCCATCCTAGTTTTTCGCGTTGCCCGTCTGGAGTCTATCCTGCTATTGACTTTCCATGTGGAACGTGAGTCTATAGGTCTCGGCTAGACGTCGCGTTCACTCGGTCAGCAGCAAAAACCTAAAGGTGTATTCACGGCCCGTACCGGTGTGAACGACGACCTTGCCCATCCCATTTTCCCGCCACACACTCTCTCTCTCTCCTCCATTCATGATTCCCCTCTTCCGGTCACGAGCCCCTAAAGTCGACAGGGTGCGCGAGGACGGCAACAGAATTCCAGAAAAGTTGGAAAAAGTCGTAGAAAGCTGTCACCCCCTATAATCAAATAAAGACAATGCATACAGTCAGCTAAATACTGCACGGTTACAATATAAAGAGGAAATTCAGCTATGCATAACAGATTGATTCTACAATAATAATTAAATACTTTACACACCGCTGACTCATACATACCCTAAGGATGCGTCACAGGAAAACAATATGAAGCGTGCACGTCCCTCCTTCCGGTTACAGTACTAGGTACTTTTTTTTATTACGGAGAATTCATAGAGCCTACATACGCACTCGCTTGCAAGAGGGAGGGACTGAAGAAAAAAGAGTGAGAGAGAAAGGGACAGAAGGCTATACCCGGAGGCGGACCGTATGTCGCATGGTTTTTTTTTTGGTTTCACGACCGTAGCAGAACGCCGAGATTCCTCCGTTAAAAATTCGTTGTGAAAACTACCTTAAGCCACGGCAACTCTCCAGGCTCACATCTTCGGCTCGGCCGAACTCGTTGAGACGCGGGAGGTGAACGAACACACGAACCTTATCCCTTCTTCCTCGTTTGCCTCTCATCTCGTGCTTCTTGGGGCTCCCACCGGATATTTTTAACAAGCGCTCAAGTCCAGAAACAAAACAACCTGCATACTGTGTGTATCTATGTATCCTTGCGCGCAGACCGTCTCTACATGGCGAAGTATCATTCAGGGAAACAACGGCACCGCGGGTAGGCATTTTCGTTGCGGAAATATAAAATGTGAATAAATGGCGAGACAATGGCGGAGCGACGTTCCACGGGACGGATTGACGCCTCCTTTTTATACGCATCAACGTTTCGTTAATTCGACTCTTAGATGCTTGTAATGATAGCTGCGCGTGCATAGTACGTGTGTATACATATATATATATATGTACGTACCCTTATACTTGATTAACGAAATATCGTATTGATGCTTCTCAATGTTTTTCTGTCATGCGAGCTGTTATTTCAGTCGTATCGGTAATCCCGTTGCGAATTCAGGACTCTGATCGTAATCGGATCCAATATACCGCAGTTACGTGTACACTGTGTTCGGAGAATATAGTATCGGTAAAATTATATATACCAGCGATGGTTCCTTGGTACGGACGACCTTCGTCTCGCTTGTCTTTGCATTAGAGACTCGTTAGCAGTATATTCTGTGATTCTGTGCTTTTCCATCTAATGCTGAGAGCACGACCGCCATTATGGGACCGTGGTCAAGATATATTCGTGAGAACGAGTTTTCTATGGGTTTCAATGAAATTGAGATGAAAAGTATCAGCGATTGCGTAACGAGTGGCTGGTTATAGGTAACCTCGATATCGTATACGTGCTACTCTAATTCTTGGGACTGAGGAATCGAACGGTACTAGGATGATCCTGAAACGATTGGACCTACGTATCTTTTAAATCATTATTCGTCCACGTATATTTTGCCGTTGTTATGCGCACTATGGTTGGTTTAGTTTCTATGATCGTAGACTGTTTATATGTTTATCGTAAATTTGCTTTTAGACACATTTTTTATAATCTTTTTGTAATTTAAATCTAATCGAGATATTTTATTGGTTATCATTAAAGTTCATGGTGTTAATGCGTGTTTTCATTTTATTTTTGTACATTTTTATTATTTTCGAACGTTCGCTGAAATAAATTCCATTTTCATTTCTTGTACGTTTGTTGTTACGTAATATGCATACTCAGCCTTCGTGACGCATCCTGCCTACGATTTTATAGGTTTTCATATTTTACGAGTCGCTAGCTGCCCCCCGAGCGCTACTTCGTGTACCAGGCGCGCATAGGGTGACATATTGTTCCGGTTTTCGTGAAATAAACTGCTCTTCCGCTAGAACGACGCTTGGGCGGCACCTACAGTCGACGCGAGCGTCGTCGCTCTTATTGGATTGTTTCAAGTCACGTTCTCACTGCTAGCCAAATATCCTTCGGTTTTACGTTTAACGACCATTGTGAACCACTTTTATGCTTGCCACATTCTATAAGGATACCTAACGCTTTTTTCCTTATATGTCTTCTTTTTTTTTTAATGCCAATTTTTTCAACATCTCACTATACAGAATCGGAATTCGCACAGCCGAATAAAAATATAATACTCGGGATTTCGCGATAACAGCAAATTGTACGTATGCTGATCGGAGTGTTCTATCCTGCTAATGTACCCAGTGTTCCGATAGAACGGAATCCCCGTTGAAAATTGTATACCGGTGATGTTTCCATGTAGCGACAGAACCAAACGATCGGTAATTGCTGTCGATATTTGTACAGAGTGCAAACTACGGAGACTATGAACCGGTCATATGGGTATTATTGCAAGGCCACGAAGCGGAGTGACATTGGCCTCGAAGGCTGGGGAAATATATTGTGCTCCTGGCATTCCAGCCAACCCTCCGGGACGAAGTTGGCTATTCTATTCAAATGGTACTGCATTCATCTCGTATGCGCCGCCATGTACGATGACTGCTGGAAGCGAAACCAAAGCGGCGTTATAACGCGAGGACCGATGTAAATTATAACTATAGCTACGGAGAGGGACGCAAGGACACGGCTCAGAATCCACGTTACGGCTCTTAGCTTTGGCCCAGCCTCACAATGCGCCTACTCGACCTCACAACGTTGACAACAACTTTTGGGACAGGCTATACGCGCCGCGACGACCCATAGGGAGATATCGCGAATAACCCGGTGTACGCAGAATCCTGGAGAATTGCTCGGAAATTTCTCCCCCGGAGCAGTTCTCTCCCTTCGCATCGATATACCTATGCGTTTGCTAATAATCATCCCTTAAACCCCCACAGCACTCCCTGTATACGTTGATTAATGCCTAATTCATAGCAGTTGAGTCAATTGGATTTAGAGGCAGTGCCAGTAGACGTTTCCAAGGTACACGATATTCGGTAGATCGTCGCAAGGTATACCCGAGAAAAGTCCTCACTGTTATTTTCAACCTGGTAAACGTCGTCTGTACGTTTTTCTCTGATTGTCATAGTTGGCTAAACTGGTACCGGAACCGGCGATAGTTTAAGACAGTCACCGCCGGTAAAGTAGTGGCAGTTCCGGATAGTTAGTGGGCGCTTTGAATTTCCATAGACCTCCAGTGATAGTGGATACACTTTAGTGGTACGTGGATATACGCGGTATGTCTGTATGGAAGGTCTTCTCGGTAATACCAAGTTGGCCAATAGCAGAGACAGTCTGCGGTTTATTAGCAACCATCCGCAGTGCTCTCCCAAACTGTTCCAGCATTCTCTCTATTCTGGGACATGTCTTTCCGTGTGTTCTAACGCCTCCAAAATTTTCGTAGATATTGACATTCCCATGGAGTTGAATTCGCTGCTTAAAGATACTTGCGATTTAGTAAAATTCGTTTCAACGGAGTGACCTCTTCTCTCTCTCTCTCTCTCCGCATGTCATTCCGTGCATCGTTCGTTCTTAACTATGGCAATTAAGCAAGAAGTCAGGCGGCGCTCTCATTCGTCCCGAAGTGCCTGCCGTCGGTACAAGTTCAGTCAGAGAAGAAGTGGGTGACGATGAGAAATGCGGGAATGAGA